ATTTTTAGGGGACCAAATATTTTTGTTGCAAAAAGTGTCGTTATTATATTTTAGCAATGAAAATTGAACATTAGTGATTAATTATTATCTTTTTGGTATCAAATTTTTTATCTCAAAAAATAAACTATTTTGAGACCAAATTATTTTGTTTCTAAAAGTCTATTTATTATTGATATTTTCGAAAATTTATCGCTAAAAGCCTTATTTTTTACTTTTCAGGGCGACCTTATCCTCACGACGATAGAAATTAGTTCTTAAATGTCTTTTGCAACAAAATTTTCATTTTTAGAAATCAAAAAAATTAGTCTCTAAAACTCTTATATTCTGTAGTGTCACATGGTGAAAATATCATAAAATTTACAAATAATTAAATAAATTAAAAACACAAGAAATGTCTTGTCAAAAAACTCTTAGAATATGTTTGTTTTAATTTTTAGAAATTTATTTTTAAATTTAAAAAAAAAAATTAATTTGGTTAAGAAATAAAAAATAATTATTATTTTTATATAATTTTATCTTTTGAGTGGTTAGAAATAATTTCTACAAATTAAATATATTTTTTCATATTTATTTTTATTAAATTAGTTTTTATTTTTTTATTTTTTAAATTCTGAATTTTTTTTTCTAAACAACAAATCAAACATGGTTCTAAAAACTTAATTTTTTTCCCCATCTGACGTAATTCTTTTGTAAATTTTGTTGATTTAACAAAGGGATTTCAATAGGGGCAATATCGTCCATCAATTTATATTTTGGTGATGTCAGCTAACCATTCTTAACGTTTAGTTAATGGTAGGGGTTAAATTGTTATGTGAATATAAACTTCGGAGGACGGGATGTAATTTCTGAAACCTCTAGAAGAAATCTATAATTTAGTTAAATATCAAGGGAGGTGTAGGTAATTTGCCCATTATATTTTGACTAAATTAATATTATGTAGCATTCATCTTTTTGAAAACTATATTCAAATTTTTAAAAAATATTATTATCTTATTGATGTATCAGCAAATCAATTATGATTAAATCAATTTTTTTTATAAAGTCTTTAATACATGAAATGGGACGGAGATGACTGCCCGAATTGGTGGCCAGAGTGTTGCATGTGGCCACAGGGCCACTAGAGGTCAAGTGAGTGATCAGCTGGCCACTAGAGGGTGGCAGAGTGCATTGAAGCTACTTGGCAGTCAAATGCAAGGGAATAGACCTAGTTGATAGTGGCTAGTGGGGGCGATGGAAAAGAGAGTGAAATTTGTTTTTAAAAACAATAGAAAACACATTTTCTTAGTTTCTAAAGTTCTTAAAAATTTTGAAATCAATTTCATTTTTTAAAAACATGAAACATGAGCGTTACCGAAGGAGACCAAATTAAGGATAAAATTTAAGAGGGTTAAATAATGAATCAATAGGACAAAATGTAAATTTTGTGCGGTGAAAATAGGACTTACTAGAAATCTTTCTTTATTGAAACAATCTGCAAGTATAGTGCATCCCAAAGTTCCATTGTCCAAAACAAAGAAGGGTATACTCACTCATACAAACTGCTTATATTTGAAGATCACTATTTGGGGTTAACAGTTGAAGAAGAGGTTGAGCTCATAGTAGAGGTCATGACAAGACAATGCATAACGTAATATTTCAAGACAGACTGTAAGTAGTTCAGTTCAGTTCAATTTGATTGAGTTTGTAATGGAGATCATGACAAGACAACGTATACCATAATATTTCAAGTTAGGCTGTAAGCAATTCAATTCAGTTCAATTGAGTTCATAATAGAGGTCATGACAAGACAATGCATAACGCAATATTTCAAGTCAGGCTGTAAGTAGTTCAGTTTAGTTCGATTTCGTCAAATGGGGTTGAGAAAAAATTTAACATCAATTTTTTTTATTGATGGATTCACACAAGACTTAAGCTTTATAAAAATTTGTAAAATTTAAGAGAAATGGTGAAAATTGCTTTATAAATACCTCCTTAACCTTTATTACAAAATGTGTATCAGTAATTACTTATCTTCTAATGTTTAAATAATAAAAACATAAAATATTTTAATAAAATATTTTTGTCAATTCAGTCGAGATATCAGTTTTAAATTTTTTGGCGAATCATACTGGTAATTCCTATATTTTGGCCTTTTCATCATTTTAGTTACTATAATTTCAATTGACCCAATTTGATCCTAAATTTATGATGTTGTCTCAATTTGTTTCAATTGATTACAATTGTTAGTGTTTTTTGATAAAAAAAAATGCGCATATGAACATGTTATGTTTTAATAGGTAAATTTGTAAACTTGTTCAATTTAGTGAATTAACTTACTTAACCAATTTAATAACTATTTTTCTTCAAAAAACCAAAATTGACACAGAATTTAAAATTAATGATCAAAATGGAGCTAATTAAAATTACAGAAGTGGAGGAGTTGGATTTGTTATTGCATTTCTACTGCAAGGCTTTCTGTCCATGTTTTAATGACACTTCAAAAAGTTTTTTCCAGATTCATGGAGGTTTGCGTCAAGGTGACCCTTTAACTCCCTTGAATTTCATTTTGGAAATGAAGGTGTTGAGCAGGATGATAGAGAGAGCAGTATAGGGGGATTTTTTGGAAGCATTTGCTGTGGGAAGAGTCGATGATTCTCCCCTTGCTGTGTCCCATTTGTTGAATGTAGAATCTGTAGATGATACTATTATCTTTTGTGGATGTTAATTGTTTTACCTTAGATGTGTTCTCATTTGATTGGAGTCAGATTCAGAGTTGAAGGTGAATATAGGGAAGTCCTCATTGATCCCGGTTGGTGAAGTCTATAAGGTGGAGCAGCTAGCTACTATCTTAGGGTACAAAGCGGGAGAGATTGCATGTTTACCTATTTGGGCTAGCCTTTCGGAGCGTCTTTCAAAGTGAAACATATTTGGGTTTCCATTGTTGAGAGGTTTCAAAGAAGACTAGCAGGATGGAAGAGACAGTATTGGTGTAAAGATGATACGGTAACTTTAATCAAGAGCGCTCTTTCTAACTTGCTACTTTACGTCTCTATTTACTATTCCAGCTTCTGTAGTTAAGAGGCTTGAGAAGTTACAAAGGGATTTCTTGTGGTGTGACATTGGCAAGGATTTCAAGTAATCAGTTGGTGGGTCGGAACACTCTTTGCTCTCCTATCTGGAATGGTGGTTTGGGCATTTTGTAGGCTCTCTATTTTTAACCAGACTCCCCTTGCTAAATAGTTGTGGAGATATACTTGTGAGTCTGATTGTGGAGGCAGCTTGTTAAAGTTAAATATGGATGTATGTGGGATGATTGTTCTTTGGAGGTCTACATAGCTCATGGAGTCGGACTTTGGCAAGCTTTCTCAAACCACATTCGGTTTGAGGTAGGTACATGTGATAGGGTGGTGCAATTTTGGAGCCATGGTGTGGTGAGCAGCTTGAGGTAGCCTTCCCTTCTCTTTGCTCGATTGCAGTTAATAGAAGGGCGGTGATTGCAAAGCATAGGACTTTTAATGGGTTGCAGATTTTTTGGGATATTACTTTTCGTAGGCAGCTTCGTGGTTAGAAGAGTGGTGAGTTTGAGGAGCTCCAGTCACTTGTATGCTTTTCGTGGTATAGAGGGTTGAGAGGATGAGTTGAGATGGATGGGATCTAGATGTGGCAGATTTGAAGTGAAATCCTTTTATAAGGTGTTGTTAGGCAATAGGGGTCGGGACTTTCTGTGGAGAGGTGTTTGGGAGTCAAAAGCTCCAACAAAAGTAGCATTTTTTCCTTAGAGCTCATGGGAAGATACTTACTGTTGACAATTTGGGGACGATGAGACAGGTCCAAGTGAATTGGTACATCATATGTAAGAAACATGAGGAATCGATTAGTCACCGTCTTATCCATTGTGAGGTGGCTTATGAGTTTTGGTCCTTTGCTCTTGTTAGGGTGGGGAAAAGAAGGAAGAAGGCATGGAGTTTAGTGCCCGCTTGCTCTCATGTGGACAATTTGGCAGGAGCAGAACAACATAACCTTTGAAGGGGTGGAGGAGCCTCTTACAGGATTCGGAGTTCCTCTTTATCTATCTTGCACAGTTGGTTTTTGGGAGGCTTAAACCAATTCTCCAACTAATTTTTAAATTTCATAGTCATTTCAGTAAGTTGTGCATGCATTAGGTTGTTGGTTTTGCTTCTTATAGGTTTTTGGGTGTTGTAACATGTATTAGGTTATTCTTACTTATCAAAAAAAAGAAGGAAGGGAAGTTAATGATGAAGAACTACCGACACTCCATTTTCATCATCACTGCTTGATCTAAACTAAAAGAGCATGGTGAAGGCAACTGCATAGAATTAAAAAGGAGATAAAACCAGTGAATGAACAAAATGAGGAAGCACCGTGACCTATCAAAAAAATAAGAAATTGAATAGACAGCTATAACTTTTAATAACACTAGTCCTGTCTTATGGTATTATGTTTTACAATCACTGTACTCGAACACAAAATGGAGTGTTTTATCAAGTCAACAATGAAAAAACTAGGTCATTTTTTTATTGATTTTTATTATTTTATTTTCTTCTTTATTATCATAACTTGACTTCCACACACACACAACAAAAAAATAAAGAACCTGTCAACCAAATTAATAAAGGAAACCAATTATTCCTAGGCATTCAGGACTGATGTTCCCAGACACCTAGCAGGGGCACACATGCGCGTACATAGGCAGAGCTGCAAAAACAACAGCTAACTGACAAAAGATGCAAGTTAAGTAATCCACTACATGGCCCTTCTGATGACACTTCTGAGGAAGGAAATTAAACTCCTCTTATGGTGTGTTTCGTTGAGGGATTTGGGGAGGGATTTGGAAAGGGAAAGGAAAAAGGTGTGTGAAACTATGTGAAATATAAGCATGATTTATTCACATTTCACCTACCTTTTCCATTTCCCTTTCCAAATCCCTCTCCAAATCCCCCAACCAAACACAGCATTAATGTTGATGAAATATATGGAGCCAAACAAATTAGAACACAGGCTGTCAAAAAACTATCCCCCGCAAAAAATGAACATACCTTCCCCAGAAAACAGCTATATATGTAAATATATATATCCATACATTTTTTGTGGTTATCTCACCACCCAAAAGAAAGAGACTAAAAAGGTACAAATACAAATACAAATACAAATACAAATGCAAAAAAAAAAAAAAAAAAATGGAGCCTTAACAAGCACAGACTAAAATGCCACTTAGCAGGTAATGGAGGTTGCTAGAAGAGTTACCAGAACAGCAGTGTTTCCGGTTATTGGCTGGAGACTGGCTGCATTCTCCAGTTGCTCCCATGTTTCCTTACGCTTCTCTGCTGCCACGCTTAGATTTGCTTGTTCCTCCTTGAAATGGGCATGGCAGGCCACGACCAGCCCGTCATCCATCTCTGTGAACAGCTTCCTCACATTTAGAGATAAGTTGAGCACTGATTGGTTCCAGTGGCACTGAATATTCCTTTCCAATGCTGGGAATATGATTGGTAGGATAACATGCCGATTATGCGCAATAAGGTTCACGATTTGGTCATTATTCCAGAAGAACAGCGCCCTTTCAGCTACCTGAAATGATTAAATTTGGAAACAAAATAAAAGGTCATTCAATTTAGTCAAATTTACCACCTATGTTAACAAAGTTTCAGTCCCCTCAAAGGTTATTCAAATAATCATTAAAAAAAACTGCCAAACACAAAATGATACTATAACCTACTGAGAGGGATGTGAACCAACAAATTCGGTAGATATGACATCCAAAATTGACAAGCTTGATTAAGACTCAATATCATGATCACAAACAGATCCATCACATTAATAAGCTGTTGCATTTATAAGCTGCTTCAGTAAAGAACAACATTAAAAAAGTTCCAAGTCCAAATTCAAAAAATCTTCTCATTGCACCATCATCTTTCATGTCATTAAAAGTGGTTCCATCAAAAAACTAGAGGGAAGCACAGCAAGCATGCATGAAATATGAAAGCACCTCCACACAAAACCCGGAAGAGCTTATAAAGCCTAGAGCCTTGTAACACAAAGGATCTAATTCTCCATTTGGAAAGATTGGTGAGAAAATGGAAGGAATGCGGCAGGAGTGACAGAAGGAAGGGAGAGGCTCCCCTCCAGACTCATTATTTCTATTAACCACGTGTCCAAACTTAGATCTAACAGTAACATGCATCCAACTTACTGGATAAAAATATAAGAGAAATTGAGAGAATTCCACCAGTTCCTTTCTCTCTCTTCTTCCAGTTTCTTCTCTCTACGCCTTCACTGCCTTCTTTGGCCATGGCTGCAAACACATTTTCTTGATCACAACCCAAGCACTAAAATCATAACCCAAATCGAAATCCACTTCCACAAGCCTAGAATAAGATATTTTGGGTCTTTATTTTTATATATTTAGATATTCAGATTTGGCACTTTATATACTACGGCCATGGTCATGCCCATCACCGCAACACCGCCATCACCCGGTACCACCACCGCTGCCTCTGTTGGACCCTCATTGACATCAATATTCTGGCCATTCATGGTGTCCCTCATCAATTGCTCATCCACAAAAATCACAAACCCAAACCCACTGATCTTCCTAGCTATCAATTGTTGATCTAAAAACCAACTCAAATACAAATATCTGATCTACCTTATGCAAATATTAATATTTTACATATAGAAGGGAAGATGGAGAAGAATGCTTGTTTGGTTTGGATTTTCAGGATTCACTTTTCAAAAAATTGAAATTTTTTGTTTTCCGTATTTTTTTGTTTTTGTTGAATTTTCTTAATATTCTAAGCAATTTTTAAAATTTTTAGATACATCTAACATAAATACACTTAAAAAGTATAATATTTATGAAAAAAATCTTTAGAAAATTCACTAAATACCAAAAAATACCAAAGAAAAAAAAAAGAAGAGAATTCAGTACATTTTTCGTATTTTTGTGTATTTATTGATTTTTTAAAATATTTTTTTACAAATATTTTACTTTTTAAATACATCCAAGTAAGGTGCATCTAAAAAAGTAAAAAAAAATTGCTTAAAATTTTAAAAATATTCACTAAAAACAAAGAAACACGAAAAACAAAAAACTCAATTTCCAGAAAATTGAAACCAAACACACTTACTGGTTTTTGGTTTTGGTGTGAGTGAAAGTTTGGATTTACAGAGGGAGAAGTAGAGAGAGAGATCAGATGAGAGTTTAAGAAGTCAAAGAGAGATAGGGTGAGGTTGTTTTCATCCTCATGTTTTTACACTGGGTGAGGTAGAGTTATGTTGGCCTTCCGTTCTCATCTTCAACATGTGGTCAACAAAAATGGCTAGTTTGGAGGATTCTAGTAGATATTGGTATGGAGGGGGAGCTCGTCCCCAGAAGGAAAAGGTAATCCTTTGTGACAAGAAGCTGCTAAATCCATCCTTTTATATGATTGGATCGGAAGGAAAAGAGGAAAGGAATGGGTGATTTTATAGCGATGTCCTTAATTCTTATAAAAAGGAATAGTTTCTAATAGAAAATTTGTCAAAAGAAGGATGATACAGCCTAGTTGATGTGAGATTTTCAAATAAAGATAGTCAATTAAGTGACTAGAATTCTATTAAGAAGATTGTTTCGAAACCGGACCAGACCGGTTTGTTCAACCAGTTGCATTGTCGACCGGTCCAAGTTCCAATTCAGATGAACCATCAAAACCGGATAGTTCCAAAAATCGGCCTTTTTTTTGATAAACCACTTGCAACCGTGGTTAAATCGGTAGCTCATGTGAACCGCCACCACTTCACGTCAACCGGGCGTTCCTGCTAGGGCACACACATCACTTAAAAAGTTGTAGTGATGAAGATTTGAACTTGCGTCTTAAGCACCACAACAACTTACCACTAAGTTGGGCAATGTTATTACTATAATTATAGATATTTATATTATTTATTATGCTTATGACTTTATTAAAAATAAAATAAAATAAAATTACTTACTACAAAAAAACACAATGCATAAGATTTTAAATCTTGAATTAAAGATAAATTGATAATATATGTATTTGTAATTTTAATAGCTATATTTTATGATGTAATTACATTTATACGTAACTATAAATATAATTATGATGTAATTATGACATCACGATTTGATTCCGATTGACCTGACGGTTGAACCACTGACCCTTGATCCAATAATTTTTTTGGTTTATTCAACAGTCCGAGTTTCAGAACATTGATCAGGAGTATAACTAATTATATTGCTATATTTCCTTACTTTTTGGATTTTAGGGTTAGGGATGAATCAATAGAGTTTAAAGTAATTAGCAAATTGATTAGGGTAGTTTTATATGGTAATTATTTGTTACTAGGGTTTAATAAAGCCTATAGAATAGCCTCATAACAACAAAGAATTAGGCCTTGGAAAATAAATAAAATTTTGTATTTTGAATAGTCTCCTGATCCCTCCATTTTTTCTTTCTAATTTTCTTTTTCTTTTTTTTTTATTATTTTTTATAATAAGGTGTTCGGAGTAGTTTATGCGCACCTCGACTAATCCCGTGAAACCAATCTCACCGCCCACTTGCGAGGGCCTATTTAAAGTCAAAACAAACACCCTGTATGGACTGGCCCCAAGAAGCTTATTAAGGCTAGTGAGTATTGAACCTCAGACTTGGAGAGAGCACACTCCCAGGCCTCATTGGGCTCAGGGACTTAGATGAGCTAACGGTGAGAATAAAAACCACCTGATTTTTTATCTTTATCTTTATCTCTCATCATTTATGAAAAAAATGAAAATAACACAATATTTATTTACTTGTGTCGTGTTCAAATCAATACTTGTAAAGTCCCGTTATATCAAAGTAGAAGCCCTTAGACCATCTCCAATGGTTCATCAAACTTTGCATCAGATTTGAAATTTGGTGAATAAGTCACTTTTTGGAGCTCCAATGGTTTCACCAAATTGGTATCAAAATGAGAATGGAACAAAAAATTCATCAAAGTGAGAACAGACTCCAAATTTCACCATTTCACTGTGCGTTACCGTTGGGGTGGGCCAACCGGTCAACCAACCGGTTGTCCGGCCGGTTGACCTACCGGTCGACCGGTTCCTTTCAAATAGGTAGGTTTAAGCCGGTCAAAAAAGGTTCCAAAAAAAAAAATTTGCCATTACCGGTTGACCGACGCGACATTGACCCTTCCCTTTTGATGCACAATTGGAGCAAGCCATATCCGATTGAGAAAATTGGCTTTTTTTAACTCAAATTTGGTGAAAATTTTGGTTCACCGTTGGAGATGCTCTAAGAGCATCTCCAATCCTTTACCAATTTTTTCATTTAATTTGATTCCAAATTTGAGTAAAAAGCTTGATTTGATATGAACTACTCTAATCATTTCAACAAATTTTCATCAAAATGTTTTTTAAAAAAAATTCCCTATCGTGCCAAATTTCTCTTTTCATCAAATTTGATGGAGGAAAAAAACAAAAATTAAAATAAAAAATAAAAACATCTCCAATGCTTCACCTTTTTAAATTTTCATAAATGATTTGATGGGTTCTCAATTTGACCCAAAAAAAATGACTCTCCCTTGATTTGATGAATGTTTGATGAAAGGATTGGAGATGATTTTTGAACACTTTTTTATCAAATTTAAATTTAATGAAAGAAAAGGTAAAGGATTGGAGATGTTCTTAGCCTTCCCCTTTTGCTTATTTTTGTGGGGAAGGAATATAATGGGCACAAAAGAAAAGCCCCTGCTTAAGTTTGTGATGCAGATGTGATTTTTCCAAAATAACGTTTTTATTAGTTTGAAATTAAATTTAGAAGCATTAATCAGAATTTTCTTTTTTATTATAGTTTCCAAATTTGACTTTCAGTAACTTTTTAATTTTATGTAATTTGGTTATGATTTGGGGCGTGAATTGTGACTTGGTCACCAACCAGTAATATAAATTGGATTACAAATTCTCATTATAACTTTTCCTCTTAAAAATCCTTTTGTATCATGATTCATGATCAATACATCAAATCCTAACCCCTTTTGTGGAACAACTATTAACAAGGTTCTAAATATCGGCCGGTACGTGCCGTACCGGCCGGTTCGTACTGGAAAATTGGAGTCCCGAATCGGATACTCACCGGTATACCGGTGAGAATGAATTTCGCGTCCGTAGCGGTTGATTCCCGTTACGTATCGGCCTGAATCCGATACGTGAGCGACACAGTTCCAATACAGTCCAGTACGGCTGAAAATGAAGCAAAGCACCTACAAAAATAATTGAGCAAAGGTTTGTTCTCTCACCGATTTCAAACTTCTTCGTTGAAGGTTTGTTCTCTGAGAGCTACACTGCTCTGTTTTGAGACTGTTTGTATGGGCTTTGGAGAACTTCTCTGAGAAAAGGTTTGTTCTGTGGGTGAATTTATATGATCACCTATAGACTCAATTACAAAGGTTTGTATGATCAAAGGTGAATTTATATGATCACCTATGATCACCTATTGAGCAAAGGTTTGTCAGAGAAGTTCTATTTGTTACTACAAGACTCTATAGGGTGAATTTACGTTGATTAAGTCTGTTTGTAATTGAGCAAAGGTTTGTTCTCTGAGAACTTCTCTCACGCTCTGTTTGTATTTGTCATGTTCTGTTTTTTCTTTTGGCTGAATAAGTGATGCTTTTGCTTGTTAAGTTGTTGTGTTCGATTTATAAAAAAAAAAAATTTGTTTTTTTTGTTTTTTCCTGTTTGTTCTGTGGTTATTTTTTTATTTATATTATGGTATTGGATGCGAATGGGATATATTTTAATATATATTTATGATTGTTTAAATATTTATATATATATTAGGAGCATTTATATATATTGAAGCAAAGCTCTGCAGATCCCCCATCAACCCTTTATATTTGCTATCCCACTTTGTTTTTCTATTTTAGTCTCCCATGTGTTTTTTCTATTTTAGTCTCCCATGTGTTGATTAGTTTCTTTGTTGAGTCCAACATTATGTGCACCGAATTCTGAATCATATTTTTCCCATTTAAGCATTTTGTTTGAAAAATTATCTAACATTATGATGAGAGGTCGAGGTTAGTATTGTATTAGTACCAAATAAAAGTTTGAGACTAAAATAAATACATATCATTTAGTTGAAAATGAGTCAAAAGTGCCTTTACATATCAAAACTTTGATTAAAATGTGATTAATTAAGGCTAAAAGAGTCAAAAAAAAAAATGCATAAAATTGAGTTTTAGAGGGATGCTAATGATTTTTGAAATTTCACAGTCGCGACGATTGATACCCGATACGTACCGGTCGATACTACCAATACCGATACTCCGCGATCGATAGCGTTACGTTACCCGATACCGCGATTTAGAACTATGTCTATTAACAGGCTATTCTAGTTAAAATCCTACATGAAGTATGGAAAATCCCCTCTGCCAACCTTCAGTCCTCTGAATCCTTCAGACCAATCTGCACTGTCCCTATACGATTCGCTCTCCTATTTGCATTTACTACTTGATTGGAAAAACTTCATGCCAATGTATTCTCATTTAACCAAATCACTGAACAATCCTAACTCCAACTTAACAAATTTTAACAAGTCACAGCAGATTTCATGGGTATGTAGTATACATCCAAATAAAGCAATGGGCAGCATTGACTTGATCAAGGGGTTAAGAAAATACGGGAGGATAAAAATGAAAAATACCTGGAAGTGGGAACTGTTGATGCAACACCCAATTCTCCAGAATAATGGAACCATGACCTTTTGAAATTCCCCCATGTTAATTCCTTCCACAATCTCTTCTAATTCGCTGAGTAACATCACCTCCTTTTGGGTATTTGTAATCGGCCAATATTTCAACAACCCCCTTATTACATTGAGAGCCAATTTTGGCTCCTTCTCTATAAACTGTGTAACACAGAATGACAATTGTTGGAAGTAAACCCCCAAAGATTTCGGTTTATGTAGAGGAACCAAAGCCCTGCCCAAAAAGATCTTGTGTTCCTCCTTTAAAGGTACTGCAAACCCACTAATTACACTTCCAAAAATCTCCAACAATTCAGCAATTCCATTATGCCGCTCCGTTTCAAATATAAAGCGATAAAAGACATTCCCGATACTCTTCCTGATAAAAGGTCTGTGAACCATGAACTTCCCATAAATCCGATGCAGAATAGTTTTCAAGCATTCTCTTTCTCTAGGATCCTCAGAATCAAAGAGGTCAAGCAATCTCAAAATAAATGAATGATTTATATACTTTTTTGCTACCTTTGCTTCTAGCAAAGACGAAGTTACAAAATGAAGCAGTAAATCATACACAATCTGTAAATGTGGCCAAGCGGGATCGAACATTGGTTCATCATCATCATTCTCACTGCCACCCGAGTTAGACTGATAATTAGGTGGGAAAACCCTAAACAAATTATTTTCACACATTTTACACATTGCTACCATTGCCGATTCAGTAAATTTCGGTGGACACGAAGCTACAAAATCAACAAGCTCTATCAAAGTTACACGTTTAAGATCTTTCTCTGTTGTACTCTTGCTTGGGTCAGTGAAATCAAAAACCATATTGCACAAACTCAACTTACTGATAAAAAGATTCAATCTTTCTGAACTAGGAACATCTCTGAATGCTAATAGAGGCTCGATTCCAGTGACAACACTCGATGGGAACACCACCGATGAGGTTCGTTTAGTGGCGTTCGATCGAATAGAAACCATAGTCCCACTTGTGGTACGTTGTAAACCACCACCATCATCACCACTATTGGAGGACGAACTATTGCCCGAACCCCTCCTTGGCGATTCAATGGTGTCAGGTTTGGATGATTTTCGAGGTAGTTTACTGAGAAATTGCTTCAACATTGCAATGAATTTGATAAATACAATATGAAAACTTAAATCAAATCCATGGTAGAAAAGCCTGTAAAACCCTAGACCTGACTGAAACTCAAAATCTGGAGATTCCGGACACAAATGCCTTTGATTTCATATGAGAAAATTCCAGATCATGATGAGGAAGTTGAATCTGAAGCTCGTGATTTCAAGATCGCCAGGTATTTAGAGAGAGAGAAGAGAAGGAAAATGAGGAAATTCTAGATCTTGCTGATTATCGAGTTTAATGTAGAGATCTTCATTGAAGATATTGACATGTATTTCTAGATAGAGAGAGAGAGAGAGAGAGAGAGATGGAGAGAGGCATCGAGGTTACCGAAAGTGAGATCTGTAAAGAGTCTCTTTCTTGTTCATTTTCGTAGCTGTTTAATCTTCGCCATTTTAGAACCTTGGTTGATGATCTTTGAACAGCAGAATGATTTGTAGTTTTCTTTTCTAGCATCCACGAAAATGTTTCTTGGATTTTCCGAGAAAATACAGGTACGAGAAAATTAAATTTGAAAGTTAATTTTTGAAAGTTATCTTTGAACAGAACCTTGGTTAATTTTTTTTTTATTTTTTATTTTTTTTATTTTTTTTTTTAAAGATCGGAAATTAAGCTAGAATTTCCTAAATAACTATCTAGCAGACCCCCAATGGGGGTCGCACTCCAGTGAGGTGGCGAGCCCCCCTAGCTGAAACTCAAAAAATAAAATAAAATAAAATAAAATAATTTTTTTTTTTGTCCAATCATGACGCGTCACCTCACTGGAGGTCGACCTCCAGTGGAGGTTCGAAGCATTTTTCTTTCCTAAATTTTGCACTTTTTTATTTTATTAAAAGTCCATAAATTAATATTTGTCTAATTGAAGCATCAAATTATCAAAATTTACACATTGCCCTTTTATCCACCTTAAATTATGACAATGCACCCATGTAAAATATTAGGGAACTTACCAATAAGTTTCCTATACAAAGTTCAAAATTATCTAATCTCAAAATAAAACATTTGTACCAATTAGTCTTATATATTTTTAATTGTTACCAAAAAATTCTTTTTAAAAAAAAATCTACAAACGTTGTTCCATCTCACTACCGTCGGACTTCCGTCAGACGGTCACCGAAGACTCAACAGAATGTTCAATGTCATCGAGAAATCACTAAAGTATTGTTGGAAGTTCACCGAAATGTTTTGAACGTCAATGGAAGTCGTCGGAATGTCCAGAATGTTTGCTGGACGTTAAGAATATCATTGGAGACTCACTGGATTGTCCAGAATATTGATTTAAAAAAAAGAATAAATTGAGAAATTAAAGCAAAAAAAATAGCAAAATGTGTTAAATATTGATAAACTAAAAGAAAAAAATGTAACGACAAAAAACAGCAATAATAGGAAAAAAAAAACATATGTTATTTTTCAATTTTTATAGAGTTTAAGCAAATAATCTCCAATATTGATTAAACTGAAAAGCAAGCTTTGAAACTATAAAATGTTACAGTTTCAAAGCAAAAAACCATTAAGCATTTATCCTTATTAATCAAACTGAAAAACATATTATGAAATTGTAAAATTTTACTGTTCTAAAAAATGTTATGAAACTGTAAAATTTTACAATTTTAAACCATGATTTATTCCAGCACAAAAAAAAAATACAAAATTTTATAGTTTTCACCGCCTATAACTAAAACTCGAAACCAACTTGTTCAGAATTTAAAAATTTTCTCCATTAAAACAGAAAAAAAGAAGTATATAATAGAGAAAATGTAGAAAGATTAAAAAATCGAAGAAGAGAGCCAAATATAGAGAGAGGATTGTACTCTAGCAACTATTTTTTGTTTAGATCTAACCAAATCTGATGTAGATCTACTCAGATCTGACATCAGATCTGAGTAGATCTACTCAACTTCTTTGTTGGAAACATATTTTCTTTACTGTCGGTGATGGTGAAGTGAGAAGTCGGCGGTCGATGGTTGCCGGTGAACCCCAATTGATGGTTGTCGCTGGTTGCTCGTGACTATATATCAGAAAGAGAAAGAGAAGAAGCAAGATATGGTTGCCCATCAACGATCGTCGGAAATCACAAAGAGCAAAAGAGGTAGAGAAGAAGAAAGACAGAGAAAAAGAAAAACGTTATAGGACTTTTGAGTATAAACAAAAGGCTGTGGTACTAAATAGACTACACATTTTTCAAAGAAGACTTCTTGGTAATTTGCCCAAATATTTTCTTTAAAGACATAATTTCGAGAAAAAAGGTTGTCATATAGTAGAATGATTTTGCTCCAATTAGGGTTGGACAAGCATCCATTCAACTCGTTTAAATTGAATGGTCTAAACTAATCTATTACAGAATAGACGATTTTAATGGTTTAAGTAGATAAATGTAGATGTATTTTTTTCAATCCGTTTAAATTTGGATAGATAGCAGATGAGAGGTCACTCAACCCAACCCGATCTGTCAACATCCCTAAAAAAATGATGTTATATTTTTAGACTTTGTATATTTAAAAAAAAAAAAAAAAATTTTTTGGTAACAATTAAAAAAAAAAAAAAAGACGGGCAAATTACACTTACCTCCCCTAAGGTTTCTGATAAATACAATGCCTCCCCTATGGTTTCAATAATTATAAAAACCTCTCATACTTTAACTGATAATATCAAGATTCTCTTAATTCGTCAATTTTGCACAAACGACGTTACTTTAATATACAACATGCCATTTAATTGTCTGACATATTATCCTTTTATTTGAGCTCAAAAATACGAAAATACCCTTTAATTGTTAACCCTCTCTCTACCATATTTGACTTCTTCTTTTTTTGTTCTCTCTCATTAGATTAAACACGAGAGAGAGAGAGAGAGAGAAGTCGCTCTTCGCTGTTTGGGCATCTTATTTCTCTACTCCTTTCCGCTGTCTATCATTTTTTATACACCACCTCCGTCTTTCCACTTCCTCCTTTTATTCTTCTTCTTCCACTCCTTATCCTTCGTCGTTCGCCGTCTGTTTTTCCTCTCTTCTTCATCTTCTTCTTCTTTCGAAACCCTAACCTAGATCAATGGTTTTAATAGTGGTGGTAGGCGGTAATGACAGCAACATTGGGTCACAATATGGTTTGTGGCGGTTGGTTGCAATTTGGGTCGCGATTAGGAAAAGAAAATGATGAAGAGAAAAGGGAGACGATCTTCTTGCACCTCAGCTACCCACTAACAATCAAAGCTTAGGCCACACAATCCTTGCTCGAATCATGGAAACACCAAATCCAAGGGCATCAACTCTCTCTCTCTCTCTCTATATATATATATATATATTTGGCCCTCTTTCTCTCTTTCTCTCTCTCTCTCTCTCTATATATATATATATATATTTGGGTCTTTTTTTGCTAATTTAATTAGTGTAAGAAAGTTGAAAATTTTGATTTAGATCAATTTGGTGTAGATCTAGAATGCTCCTTTTAATGTTTAATTTTTTGTTGTATATATATATTTGTGTATATGGATTGTTGGGAAAATGTTTAAAGAGAAAATAATAAGTTATCAGATTTGGTGTTTTGTTATTTTGGTTTAAGAATGTCAAATTTTTTGCTTTGTATCAATTGGTGTTGATCTGGAATGGATTTTTATTTATTGTTTATTTTCTTGCATTTTTTGGGCAACCGAACAGAACAGAATTGATTGTTTTTCTTGATAATGAGTTATGGGGCAGAGTTGGTTCCTAATCTTCCATCTACTGCAACTTGTTTTTCTCTTTTTTTCTCTCAAGGCCCATAACCCTTTGTAAATTAGATCTCATCTTTCTAAATTTTATTCTCTTTTTTATTTCTTTTCTTTTATTTTCCTTTTTTTTCATCATCTTCTATTTCTCGTGGCTATAACAAAAGATTTTTTACTCAATTTTTTTGACCTTTGCAGTAGACCTCTTCTCTTTTTGTAGAATTGATTTTTGAAATCAAACACAAATGGGTCGAGTGGGTTTAAGGCGTTGGCTGTGAGTTTTATTTAACAGATTTGTGGGTTTGAGGTGTGAAGGTGGTTTGTGGTGGGTTTGGTTAGTTGCATCTTACATTTATGTAATATATATGTTTGATTGAATAAAAAAAGGAGAATTGAATCAATATACAATATATATATGTTTGATATATATATATATATGTATCCACAAATATCTTTCATATATATACCTTTATATATATTTCTCGTTTTGTCAAATGTGCTGTAATGGTGAATGGGTTGGTACTGGTGATGACACGAGTAGAAGATGAATTTAAAGGCAGTGAGGCTGTGGAAGATTGATGAATTAGAAAGGAGTGAGAGTATTTTTGGCATTTCATAATTTATAATGAGTGACATCAGCACTTTATGTTAGTGTAGCTCGACTTTTCGTGCTCCTTTTGAAAGACGACTAACCCTACAATATCGGACTCCTGTGGTTCTGAATCTGATTCCATAAGTGCAATGTGAAATAAATAAACACCAAAGAGTCCAAATCCGACAAATCTTTTTAGAAATCAATTTTGAATCAAAATGCCATAAATGGACTACTTTGTCAAATACAGAGTCACCACCTAAATATTTTGAAAAAATTTAGGAAACCCATGACTCGTGCCAAAGGCCACGTGTCCGTCATCACTAAGATTGTCTCAGCTCGAGAACTTAGGTACGAGAGGGGAATGTCATGAATTGAGCACCCCCGCTCACCCGATCAAAGACCGGCCTCTACTAATCATGATGTGAATCTTATTTATATTATATGCTCTTGTTCTGGTTATTAGGCTATTGTTACTATGTGATGCGCACACAAGTATAGACTAATTTGCCAAAATTGGAACATTTGATTTCATGTTTGTTTTTGAAAAGGGCTTATGAATGTGCCACCTAAAAAAGTGGGCTCAAATGTACATTAATTAAACTATCCCAATTTAAGCAACTATCCTTCATCCACAGGCATTCAAATAGTTTATCACTTAAGCCCTTAGCCTCATGGTGAACATGCTTTGACATGGCAACACTAACATACAATGCAATATGCTAAAGCGAATAAAAGCTCGACTAGTACTCCAAGCCAAAAAAGATGACAGAGTTAGAAAAATGCGTGATGCATATGACTACTGTAACGCATGCGATATGTAATTACTAGGCTCGGCTACTAATATGGCATATGAATCAATTTGATAGCATGCGGTCTAAGCACGTATTCAAAGAAGTATTAACTAACAATGCAATTTTAACTAGCAATGCAAGTTAGAATGATGCGTTGAGCTTCAATGCATACAAGACAATAGATACAAGACATGAGAGATGCTAAACGAAACATGATACCCTAAACTAACCATCATAAGCAGGTAAATAAAAGCGAGAAAGACGTAGAGTTGGAAGACATACACATTATTACAATTGTGCCCTCGCGTAGGGGGGTCCGAATAAACTAACTAGCTAAGCTAATTAACTAACTATTACAAAATGAATGGAATAAACTAACTACACTAGCTAATTATTACAACACCGAATAAACTAAC